TGTAACCTGGCAGCAAGGGAGAATGGACTGGAGTGCGCATGCGTGAACAATGACTACTTCACTGTACCAATCAGTGAGGGCGCTAGACACCGTTGAGTGAGCATTTGTAATGTGTGGCTGTGGCATTCAAAATGACTGGGCGAGCAAAGAAATGAATCTGCATCAAATTTTGCGTTAAGCTTAAACATTTCTCTCAGAGAAACTATTCGGGCGATTCAGAAGGCTTTCGGTGACGATTCAATGAGTGCAGGGCAAATAAAATCCCCCAGGTGACTCAGCACCCATACAGCCCAGATTCGGTGCTCTGCTGCTTCTGTTTTTTCCCAAAACTAAAACCACCTTTGAAAGTGAAGAGATTTCAGACCGCTGATGAGATTCAAGTAAATACGACGAGGCTGCTGAAGAGATGCAGGAAGAACTGTGTGAGGTCCCAACATGCCTACTTTGCTGGGGAATGAGGCATTATTGTCCTATGTACAATGTTTCTTGTATCTTAAATATTTCTATTTTTCATATTACATGGCTGGATACTTTCCCCTTGAAAATAAAATTTTAAAAACCCTTAAAAAGTTCACCTTATTCCAGTACTGACATCCCTCGGCCCTGCCTTTGTCTCCTCCGAAATCATCGCGAATGTCGTGTATGTATAATGCCTTCCCTATAGGAAAACAGTACGTCAAAGCTTTTCTATGGGGATATAGATGATGTAAGGAAGTCCAGCCACTAGACTTCCAGCTGCAGCTGCAGGATTAAGGTGACAGTAGCACTGCACCCAGACAACCTCAATGACATGAAATGGTCTGGAGGCCTACAGTACCCCTTTAATTCAATCACTTTCCCTTTCATATGCTGGAAGAGGAGCTAGGGAGAGAGAAAAACACTGTCTCCATCCCCCCAGCCACTCTCCGGACATATCAGTAAAGGAAGATAAGTTAAATTATTCACAGTAGCTGCTGCCTGAGAGTGTAACTGACTAATCTATGGGACCCTAAAAAAAATAAATGTATTATAAAGGATACACAATGCTGAGGTGAATAGCTGGAGATCTTCATAAAACATTTAACCCTTGAACTCATGGTTTATTACTATGCCTTCAGAATCGCTCAATATTTTTTCCCATAAAATAGTTACATATCTGCCATCACTGACTTCAGATATATATTAAATAGGCAGCTGTGAATTCATTAACACATTTCAATGAGCGTTCTAACCTTAGTTTGACATTTAGTAAGTAACATGTAATTCGGGATTATTCTAACCTTAGTGACCGAATCGAATAATCTAAATTGTATTAAAGACAGGAGGCAAATATTTGCTTATCTTTCTTTACTGAAACCCCCAAAGCAGCAGAGAAACAGTTAACAGTAAGTAAAAAGTTTAGCCAATCAGAATGCATAACAGAGTATGTCTAGTCATCAGGCTCCTCCCAACTCCTATTTCTTAATGTAGCCGACAGTCGTAGAGTCAACCATGTAAACGAAAACAGTAGATCGATGAGTAGATCCTAATGTAGTCAACCATGTAAACCGGTGTTAATAAGTGAAGATAATTCCTTGCGAAGGTAACGAAGAGTCTTCACACCAGGAAAAAGAGAAAGAAATTGTGAAAGTATAGTTTCTTGGGTAAGAGAATCAAAACCTCTTACTTAACATTAAAGTCATGAATTCAAAAGCAGTGGGTATCAAGTACTCTGACAAATCTTAAGGCTATGAATTAAAGATGAGTAGAACTATAAATGCATTCTGTAATGTATTAACAGAAAACCCATGATTACAAAATTAATTGGTAACGAAATATTGAGGTGTTGCAAAATACTTACCTAGCAGCATAGGCGTGCGCAGCCTATTGCATTTGGGTGTGCACCCTAAAGCACAAACACACGCCGTGTGTGTGTGTGTGTGTGTGTGTGTGTGTATGTATCTATATATATATAGATATATACACACACACACACACACAAACACTGCTGTGTGTGCTGTTAGTGTGATGTGTGTGTGAGGGTGCTGTTAGTGTGATGTGAGGGTGTTTGTGTGTGTGTGTGTGTGTGTGTGTTTGTGACTGTGCTGTTTGTGTGTGTATGTTTGTCCTGTGAGGGTGCTGTTTGTGTGAGTGTCGTGTATTTGTGAGGGTGCTGTTTGTGTGTGTGTTTGTGAGGGTGCTGTTAGTGTGCTGTGTGTGTGTAAGCTGTATGTGTGTAGGTGCTGTATGTGTGTGAGCTGTATGTTTGGAGGGATTTGGCAGATTAGTAAATCCTTGCTGCCATGTGCCATCCCTGGTGGTCCAGTGGAGAGTGCGGGGCTAGAGTTAACTCTTGCGAGATCTGAGCGTTGCCGCAGCAACACTCAGATATCGCGAGAGGAACCTGGCGGAGCTTCTGTCTAGAGCTCCCTGGGTCCTCTCCTGCCTCCCTCCATGCTGCTGTGGGCCGGTGAGGTAGATCTTTGGTCTCCCCGCCAGCCCATGGAGGCTTAGAGCAGAGCCGGCACTTAGATAGCGCCGGCTCTGCGTGTGTGTGTGTGTGTGTATATATATATATATATATATGCGTACACACACACACACTCACAGACACATTCAGACACACCCACATACATACACTCACAGACACACACACACACTCACACAGACACACACATTCACAGACACACACTCACAGACACACACTCACTCACACACACACATACATACACTCACAGACACACTCATACACACACATACATACACTCACAGACACACACACATTCACAGACACACACTCACACAGACACACACATTCACAGACACACACATTCACAGACACACACACAGACACTCAGACACACACACACTCACTGACACACTCACACACACACATACATACACTCACAGACACACTCACACACACACATACATACATACACTCACAGACACACAGGCACACACTCACACATACACTCACAGACACACACATTCACAGACACACAGACACACTCAAACAGACACACACTCACAGACACACACATTCACTCACAGACACACACACACACAGACACTCAGACACACACACTCACACAGACACACACATACATTCACAGACACACACTCACAGACACACACACTCACTCACTCACACACAGACACACACAAGAACAAATAATTACATTTTAATAAATAAAAAAATGTCCACCCAGCCTCCTACCTGGAGTGCTGGTGTGGACTTTTCCCTGGGGTCCAGTGGGGCGGGCGCCTCTCTGCAGCTCAGCCGCGGTGAGGGAGCTGTCTGCTCTCTGCTCCCTCTCGCCGCGCGGGCTGTCTGCTGTAGCTGGGAGCTGGAATATGACGCGGCTGAGCTGCAGAGAGGGGGGGATCCATCATCTCTTGCCCCCCCATGACAGGGGCAAGAGGTGAAACAGGGGACACTGAGTGCCTGCAGGAACAGCGTTCCTGCTCAAAAAAAGTGCAGGAACGCTGTTCCTGCAGGACTCAAACCATAGGCGTGCCACAGGGATTAGGGTGTGCCCAGGCACACCCGGCACAACCCGTGCGCACGCCTATGCCTAGCAGGGTGGGGAGAGTATTCCACGGGTGGGAAAATATTCGCCTCCTGTCTTTAATAAAATTTAGATTATTCGGTCATTAAGGTTAGAATAATCCCGCATTTTATGGCAAGACAGTAGGTTTCATATTTGATGTTTTAAAGTGAGGAGAACATGGAAAGAGACACATGAGGTGACTGTTTAAAATAAAAGGTGCGGAAGGTAGATTCCCTGGACCAATCCGCGGAGGCTAAAATTTCCGCCAGAGAACCCACAGCCGTAAATGCAGGAGAGGCGGCCGCGGTTCTAACAGAATGAGCACCAAAAGATGACTCAATGCCGGCTAGATGATCCAATGGGCAATTGTGGGACATGACACTGGCTTGTGAGGACGCACATAAGACACCAGTAGGGGGCCCATTTGTGTTCTAAGGGAAGTAGTGCGAAAAACGTAATGTTTAACGCAACAAGCTACACATAGCGGGGGTTTATCCTGGAAATTAGAATAGCTCACAGTAGACTAATTGGTTTTAGTGCATCAGGTAATGGAGAAGTTTACTCCTTCGGGGGTAAAGTCAACGGCATGAATGTCAAATGCTCTGATGTCCGAAACTCTCCAAAAGGAGAAGTTTACCAAACAGAGAAGCAGTGCCAATTTGGCTGACATTTGTCGGAGAGAGAGTGCTTCATTAGAAGGCCAAGCCTCTTAAAAGGATAGCACAATAGCATCATCCCAAAACTAACTAAATTTGGGAGACAGAGGTCTTTCAAGGCAGATGTCCTGCAAAAGTCCACATATGGAAGGATGTTTGCCAACTGAGGAGTTGTCAACAGGGTTATGGGCCGCAGAAATAGTAGAACGAAACACATTAATCAACCGATTTTCTGTCGTCGAAAATGGACGACAGAAAGTTCATGATGTTAAATAAAGAAGCTGAAAAGAGATC